GGCGGTTCGCCCCCCCCCCTCCCCCCCCCCAGCCGGTACGAGGGGGCCGGCCCCGTGGGCGCTGCCTGCGGCAGGTACGAACGGGCAGTTCCTCTGAGCTCCCCAAAGCCGGTATGGGGGGACGGTTCCTGCGAGCTCCCCTCCGCCCTCCTGCAGCCCCCCACGAGGCCGGCGCCGGGCTGCGTGCATGCTGCTCTTGCTACGTGGCCGCGGAGCTGGACCCGCTGCCTCGCACCATAAAGGGACCCCTGCTCCCCCGCAGCCTCTGTGCCTGCTAAGAGCAGGGTGGATGGGACCGTGGCCCCAGGAGCCCACTGCCTGCATCCGTCTGCCCGCCGGGCCATTGCCCTCCTGGCTCCCTGCCGAGGCTGGCATCGGTGTGCCCCTGCCCCGCGTCGGCGGCACGGCACGGCCGGCTCGAGGGCAGACAGCTGCTCTGCTTCCCCCCACGAGCCTGCGGCCGGCACCAGGCACCGGGCTGGCAGCCGCGGGGGCAGCCCCCAGGCCATCCCCGCCCCCCCCCGTGTATAAAATGTACATTGGAAATATTTATATGGACGCACTGTAAATACTGTTTCTTTGCCCTGTGTGTGTGACCTGCAGCCGAGGAGAAACGGCCAATAAAGCACCCTGCCAGCACTGCCTCTGTGCCGTCCCGTTCCCGCGCCCGGTGCTGCCTGCTCTCCCTCGCGGGGGATCCGGCCGGGTTCGGGCCCCTCTCTGGGAACGGCAGCGCTGCAGGTATGAGCTGTCGGGGCAGCCGTGGCTGTGGCAGAGGCAGCCGTGGCCCCAGGAGATGCATCAGGGCCTTGCCGGGGGGCCTGGGATGCATTGACCCCGCGCAGTGCAGGGGCGGTTGCTGCCTCGGTGCCCCAAGGGGGAACATGGGGCACAAGTCATGCGGGCCGTGCCACCGTGCTGGGACCTTGCGTCTCAGGAGCAAGTGCCGGGCTTGTAACGGAGCCAAGCAGGGGCCAGAGGCCTGCGAGGTGGCCAGGGCAGGGCCAGGTGGCTGCAGCACTTGGCAGCAGGGAGGAGATGGGGACATGGCCCCGCAGCGACGTGCTGCAGCAGGAGGGCACTTGCACCCGGGCAGAGGCAGCCCCGTGACCCTGGAGCAGCACCGTGGACCCCCGTGCCCAGAGGGTGCCTCTGTCTGCAGTGTTGGCGCTGGACCGTGAGCCCCTCGTGCCAGGTGAGCAGCAGAGGCAGGACCCGGAGGCCTGGGCACCGGAGGCGCTGGTAGCAGCACCCCAGGCTGAGCCGCCGCGGTCCTTCACGCCTGCACCAGCCCCTTGGTGCAATGGGCTTGGGCATGGCCGTTCCCTGGCTCTCCGGCCCTGCGTCCACCCCCAGGACCCTGCAGCTCCTCGAGCGCGTCTGGGTGGGGGGGAGGGACTCTGTGCAGCCCGCACGTGCGGTGTGGGTACCTGCTCCTCCTGCTTGGGGGCATTTTTGGGGGTGGGTTGCTATGGCAGCAGCCTCGGGCTAGGTGGGAGCCAGCCCCACGTGCCCGGGGGGGGGGACGGTGCCAGGAGCTGCCCGCGGGCCCCCAGGGCTAGCAGCTGCACCCTGTGCAGACCTCCCTGGCAAGGGGGGAGACAGGCCCCCTGCCACCCTCACCTCCACCTTGCGCTGCAGGACCCGGCACAGCCCCTCTGTCCCCTGACCCCGGGATTCGGAGGAGACCGTGTCCTACTGGAGGGAGCGGCCCCTCCACGGCGCCGTCGGTGCCCAGCTGCCCCCCGCGTGTCCCTGCCCCACAAGTCCTGCCCCCTCCCAGGCCCCCGCCCCGCACAGGGTGGGGCTAATTTCCTGGCGACTGCATTAGCGGGAATGGAGGCCCAGGGACGCGGCTCCTCTGGGGACCCATTAATCATCCCCCTCAGACAAGCTGCCTTGATTACAAGTGGCAAGAAATTCATTAGGGCTGCGGCTCTGACAACTTTTATCTGCGCGGCTGGATCTGACTCATTAGGCAGCCAAATTAAAGCCATGATGGGCCCTGATGAAATTCACTGCTTGTTTATCTTGTGCGATCTGATACATCTGCCCATACATCATCTCCCCGCGCCGCAGCCCCGACCACCCCGGAGCCCCTGGCCTGCCCCACGTGCCCCCTGCCCTGCCCTGCCCAGCGGGCACCTGGGGCCCCCTCCTCAGGCCTGGCTGGACCCTGCCCCGGTGCCCAAGAGAGGTGCTGTCGGGGTGCTGCCACGGGGCCAGCACAGCTCAGCGCCGTGCAGACGTCGCCCCTTGGGGTGCTGCCCGGGGGGGTCGGCATTGCACCAGTGCAACACCTACCCATCCTGTTGGCCTGCCCCTGCACCCCCCCCGGCTCCCCTGAGCCAGGGCGGCACGGGCTGCATCACCCCCAGCCGGTGGCAGTTCCGTGTGACCGAGGAAACTGAGTCGCACCCCAATTTCCACATGACAGGACAGGTGCCCCCCGGCCCTTCAGTCAGAAGTGGAGCAGGGCCTCCCCACCCCCAAGTCGGGAATCACAGCCGCGCTCCCTGCGTGCACGCGCCGTCCACGGCCAGGCCGATGCCAGTGGACCCATGCGGTGCACGTAGGGGTGCCCTGACGCTACATGTGCTCTGGATGCAGCCTGGCAGCCACTGCAACGCCCTGGCCCGCTGCGGGGGGGTCACTGGCAGCTGCAGCCCTGGCCCGCCCAAACCAGAAAGGGCTTTGGCAGAGCCCAGACTCGGCTCCAGCCCCATGCATGTGCAGCAGCCCTTGGCCCCACCAGCCCTGAGGGGAGGGAGCTCCTGGAAGTGGGGGTGTAGCAAGAGCAGGGAAACTGAGGCACGCCTCCCAAGTGAATGCTCCACTCCTCCCTGTGTCACGGGGCAGGGATGACGGGACAGCTGGTTTCTCCACCGGTGACAGGTGACTGCAATGCAGCGGCCCCTCCAGCCGCGGCTGCCAGCGCAGACGTGCTCTGGGGCGGGTGCTGGGGCTCAGCACTGCGCAGGATGCTCGCCCTGGCTCTGCTTCGGCACCAGGACTCCAGACGCTAGGACAGACCTGGCGCGGGGTCCTGGCACGCAGCCTAGGGGCTGCTGGTCTGGCCCTGCAGCATCAGGCTATGGGTGCTCAGGGCCCGCTGGTTGCATGCTGCCCTGGCAGGGCCTGCAGACGGCTCCTCCAGCCCGTGGGGCACAGCAGGTGCCCACGCTGCCGGACTGCATCCCTGCTCCCCTCCCTGACCGGTGCATCACATTTGCAGCTGCAGCCATGCATGGGGGCGAGCCTGGTGATGCTGGGACAGCCTCCCTGTGTGCCAAGGCAGCCTCTACCCCACAGCCTTGCTCACTGCCAGCCTCAGGACCGGGCCAGGCCACGCTGAGCAATCGCCCAGGCTGCAGCAGAGCTGAGCAGGGGCCGGCCGTGGCCTCCCACGCAGTGGTGCAGCAGTGCGGGCCAGCGCCCAGGGACCCCCAGCCGCGTGCTCTGCAGCCCCTGTGCGGGAAAGAGCCTGGGGCAGGTGCTGGAAGGGGAAGGGGGTGCAAAGGTGGTGCACAGCACGTCCTCGCAGGCTGTCACAGTCCCTGAGCCGCCAGGGCTGGGAGTGCGGTGAGGCCCAACATGGGCTGCATGCTTAGGCTCCCGGGGAGGGGGAACCTCGTGTGCCCCATCGTGCCCGGCCAGGCAAGGGCACCGTCGGTGCTGTCCTGCCCGTCTCCCTCCCTGTATCGGGGATAGGGGAGGGACATTGCCCCTTGCTGTGAGATGCCCAGCTCTCTGTCCCGTCTGGAGCCAGCCCCAGCTGCCAGCAGCGTGGAAGCAGCATGCCTGGCACTTCACTGGGTCGAGAGGGTCTGCGCCAGCCAGGAGCCTGCGGACGAGCATGCGTGCAGGTGGACATGCGTGCAGATGGACACTGCGGGCGCTTTCCCTGGGGCAGCAGCAGTGCCCTCCAGGGCTGGCAGGACGTCGGCTGCTGCACGGCTATCTCTGCTGGTGGCAGGGCCGTAGCTGCTGCCGTGGGCCTGGTCGGAGGGTCCGAGGCTGGAAGGGGCCCCGCTGTCTGCCTTTTGCCTCTGCAGGCATGAGCCCGTCCAGCCCAGGGTGGTGGGCACGCTCGGCGGGTGCTCGCAGCGCATGCTGTGAGACCCCCCGGCACCCTGCCCTGGCACGGGCGGCTTTGCCAACATAACCCTATCTGCTGGGCTTTCCCCAGCCTGGCGCTGCTCTTGCTGCTGGGTCACGGCCTCGCCGGGCACCGTGGTCCTGCACGTGGCCCCAGTCCCAACCCAGCTGTGCCACTGGTGTGAGCCAGCCTCTGCTCTTCCACCAGCCTTTCCATCCCGCCATGTCCGTGACCGCTCTTTTAATCTCCCCGCTGTCCCCCAGCCCCGCTCAGTCCTGTCCTCACAGGGGCAAGCGCTGGCCTGTGACCTTCCCGTGGCACTGGCACCTCCGGACCTCTGGTTCTGGGGTCTTCTCCCTGCCCACCCCCCTCAGCACTGGGGGTCCTGGGCACGGCGGTCCCTGCAGCTGCCCTGCACCCCAGCTGTGGGGCACGGTCAGCGGGGCCAGGGCAGGCTGTGTTGAGCTGCCATCACCTGCCTCCCTGCAGCTCCGGGCAGAACATCGCGTCGCATCCTAGAGCTGCGGGGATCGCATCTAGTCCAAACCCTGCCTCGGGCAGGATCAGCTTCGTCCAAGCCAGCCCAGACAACCATCATCTGAACCCTGCATGAGACTGCTGGCAACTCCAGCACAGCACCAGATAATATCACGCCTGCACCTGCTACGAGGAAAGCAGGGGGGCCACGGCGGCCAAAACCGCCCTGACACATGGAGCAGAAAGGAGGGG